TCATTTGTCCCATTCCTCTTTCACCACCTAATGATGCTAAGAGGCATCTGCAGTGAGCTAACGAGTGACTGTAGAGCCATAGCATGGTCATTTTTCTTTTTGGGGTACAGGGAAAAAAAACTGAATTGAGAGGTCTGGCTTACTAGGCGACTTCCATCTACCTAGCATCAAACCCGATGGAGAAAAAGCATAAGGAGCACACAGGCACAAAGAGGGATAAGGCCAGGCACAATTGTTTTGCTCTCACGCATGCTCCCACACATGATGCTCTTCAAATCAGATATTAGTTCATGTGACAAAAAGGAAGTTTCTCCTTCAAGTCTATATGCTCCCAGAATTTCACTGGCAGTGCTAGCTGCACTACAGCGCTGTGCTCAAGGCATCATGCTGCCCTTGGATAAGCCAGCCAGGGTAGGACTAGATCTCATGCTCGCTGCAATGGGAGTTTGCAGGAAGAATGGAACAGCACTCAAGTGTAAGGAAAGCAGAGCCAAAAACCCATTGGGAATCAAGGAAAGGTCAGGTTCCCAATCACTCTGGGTCTGCCTAATGCTGACTAACCTTTTTCGTCACCCAGACCCAAACTGCTTCTTCCCAATACGTGCATCCTGAAGCATTCCCCAACCCCAGTGCCATCATTTGCTACCCCAGTCCACAATCCAGTCCCATCATCTGGTAGGGAAACAGTAATCTTATTCTCTCCTTTACTGCCTCACCTTATAACAAGGAGGTAGAGTCAATACAGCTCCAAAGGTGCATAAAACAAGTCTTCAGTGGACACAATTAAAAGCATCAAACCTGCTGGGTCTTCCATGCCTTCTAAGGATTTTGGAATTTTGTTCAAAATTTTCAGACAAAATTTTCAAAGGGCAGAAATTGAAAAAAAATATTTTGACTTTGTCGTTTAAAAAAAAAAGTCAAAAAATTGTAGTGAGATTTTGTTTCAGCTTTGCTATTTCATTTCACTTTGTTTCAGTGTTTTCTTTTATTGACATATTGGCTTTAATATGCTTTTCCTATTTAATGTTTTAGCTAGCATGTTTTTTAATATTGTAATGCAGCATAAAAGTCTTAAGTTCATGACAGCAGAATTTGACCTGACCTCTGGCCAGTTCCCTTTTATTACATGGATTTAGACATGCAGGTGCTCTTTATTAGTGCTCTGATACTTCAGCAACTAGTATTTTAAGAATACAGAGTCATACATTAAAAATAGATATGCCTGTGTGAGTTTGCTACCTCATTCACTCTTCAGTTTAGGGAACAAAGAAAATTTATTGCAATATCAGTCACTGCAATAAATGCTTAGGGACATTTATTTCTTGGTTCTAGTCACCAACCTGGATTTCAAGATACTAAATACTATATGCAAGGGTTCAGTATCTTCTGAGGCCAGTAACTCCTAATACTATTATCACTATCAATCCTCCTCCAAGGTATTTCATTTAACAGGAAGCTTTAATGATTACTGGGTAGAGTGGAGACTTGGCATGCAGCGACCCCAGACAAGCACAGATCGTGCTTTCTTGCCCATTTTTGGATGTGCAATTAAGACCCAGTGTTGAGTCATAAATCTCCCACTGTGCTGGGGTGACTAGATGCTTCACTGAATAACATGGTCCATCTCTTCACCAGTTAGCTGTTGGCAAAGAAGCAGATTTTTTTTTGCCCAGATCATTATACGTTTAATTACTTATTTTTTCTGGAATCCCAAATTCATGATGCATCTGAGCAAACATTACACCCTGAGCCATTAGAAACAACATTCATGAGACTGTCTTCAGCTGAAATACTGGAACTGAGAACTTGCATTTCATTACCCATTCTAGTTGCCATTACCTGGTTGCAGCAATCTTAGATGTGGGACCATATCACCCAACCACCCACAACCCGGCCAGCTTTTCCAGCTGAAGAATAGACAAGCCACCCCGGTGTTGTTTAGACTGCAGGCTCTTTGGATCTGGGACTTTATTTCTGTTTGCTCTTTGTAGCCATTACACTGATGAATCACTTCTTTAACAATTCACCACTCCCGCGTTGGATTATTCTCTATCTGACCTAATGACTGACTTTACGTCATCTACTCTGTGGAGGTTCAGCGCTGTGTTTTATGGGACTGTCCTACTCCACGCTGAGTGTCTCAGATGAAAGGCTATATATCAGAGCCCTTGACATACATTAATTAAGCCTCACAACATCCACATGAAGCCTGAATACAAATCTGGATCTGAACTACCTTGGACTTTGATTCTGATGGAGGTTTTTGAGCTGGCTCCTGTCTCTGTAAGGGACTAAATCAAACCCTGCTTTCAAAAAACCTCCCAGCTTTGACTTGCTAGAGAATGACTTAATTGAGAAGAATCTTAGAGGCTTCAGTCTACACCATGCATTGTTTTCTCCATTGTACAAATGGATCAACTGAGGCACTAATGTTTCTCCAGGGACAAATAGCAGCAGCACATAGTTGTGCCATTGCTACTTGTTGCTGGGGAATGCCCCTGCACACGTGCTCTGGGGCATGGCAAATTGCCCCAGGTGGGGCCAGCACCTGGGTTAGCCCCAGCAGCCTTACCTGGGGTCCTGGGGGCTCCCAGGGCTGCAGTGGCAGCAGTCCGGGTGAACAGAGCCTCACCGGCAGCTGGAGCTTGGCTTTGGCCAGCCAGGCTCTGGTTTTGGGCCGCACATGCTGCTGTCACATGCACCATTCTGCTTTTTTTTTTTTTTTTTTAAACTTTTTTTTTTGTAAGAATCTAATTTTGACTCTTTGCTGCAAATATGCAGCATAGAGAACCTTTGTGCGTGCACTATGTGCATTTTGCAGCACCTCAAAAGCCTTTAAGGTGCCACGAAGCGCATGTGCGTGCTTGTCTGAACGTGCCCTCAGAGGGCAAAAAGGCAGAAGTGGCTGTGAATTTTGAGTGCACATCTAGAAACACTCTGGCCCACATGTTCAGATATGACAGCTGTGCTTGTCATTGAAAATGGTGGCTTTGGAGGTCATGGACGTGCAGTGAATCAGAACCTGAGCTGAAGGTTAAATGCAAGTAATTCTAGTTACTAGGAGAATGATATAACTACCACACCTTTTTGTCCCTCCTCGAGCCCCACCCAAAGTAAGAGGGGCTAGTGGTGAAGGCTTCTTCCCCGCTGCCTGGCTCTTCAGCAATTTTTTCTCTGCTCTGGGACTTCACAAGCCATCTGTGCTGTCTTCATCTCTAGTGAGTATTGAGCAGCTTTGTCCTTCAGGTGGGAAAAATGAGAAACTCAGCTGCCTCACAGTGCCTGTCTCACTGCATCATTCAAACAGTGAGGGCTACTTCTCCCAGGCTGTCCTGCCACATTATCCCTCTTTCCAAATGCCGTGCCTCACATTTGCAACAGTGCAACGTGGGAGTAAGTCTATATAATCTGGCTGCTGCACACGAAAGCAGAATGATACCCACTGTCGGAGCAGTCTCCACACCCAGATATTCACCCAGAACCAGACCTTTACCAACTCACGCAGCCAGCTGTCAATATTAGCACACAGCAGCTCCCCTTCTCAATTACGCGTGTGAATCAGGCCTGGTGAAAGGAGCTTGGTTAGCTCTGGAGATTAAGGCAGATATAGAATCATAGAAAATTTGGGTTGGAAAGGACCTCAGTAGTTCACACCTAATCCAACCCCCTGCTCAAAGCAGGACCATCCCCAATTAGATCATTCCAGCCAGGGTTTTGTCACGCTGAGCCTTAAAAACCTCCAAGGATGGAGGTTTCACCACCTTTCTGGGTAACCTGTTTCAGTGCTTCATCACCCTCCTAGTAATAACATTTTTCATAATATCCAACCTAAACCTCCCTTGCTGCAACTTGAGTCCTTTGCTTCTTGTTTTGTCATCTACCACCACTGAGAAGAGTATATATATTCTGTTCAAAGCATCAGGGTGAGTCCTACTAAGATTGGGACAGTAAATTTAGCCTGTTGGGTTTATTTCACCTTCTCTGGTGACATATAGCCTGAACTAGCCTGCGTCCTCAAACCATCTTACATGCCTTCATTCATGGATATGATTGGGAATTGGGGGCCTATACAGCTTTGAAGATCTGGGACGGTGCTTCTGAATGGCTCAGACCCTCTGGATAATGCAATTCTTTAATTAAATCTTCTGCCACTGAGGATTTATTCAATCCTTTGAAACAGGGCCATTCAGTACAGCAAGGAGCATAATGTTGTTCCCCTCCATGGAACAGAAGGCAGAAACAGAAGAGGTCCAGCTCACACAGAGGGATAAAAGGATGCCAGGCTTAACACTTCTAGGGTGAGAATGATAATGTTATGAGATGCCGAGATCAATCTTTCTGGAGAGCGCCTTATTCCACTTGACTCGATGTAGGTTCCCATCAGACACTGAAATACTTGATTGACTGCTCGCTAGGGCAGAAAGCACTTTATTTGTAGGGAATGTAGGGAGCAATAATAGGGTGTTTCTTCAGCCAGTAACACGATGGCACGCAGGAGCATCAGGTGTAGAAATAGCCCAGACGCACATGTTTCACTGCTTGGCAAATCAAAGCTCAGGAGGATGCCATAACAAAACAAGACGTGAGGATGTCTAAAGACTGTCTGCCGTGGAGGCTTCGAAATGATTAGACTGCGCAAAAAAGAAGTGGTTTGAAGAGAAGGGGGTATTTCATGACTCCTTTCAGAGCTAAGGGATCTTTTGTGCTTGGTGCTGCTCGAGTTGGGTGAAAAGGCAGTCCCTACTCCAGCAATGTTGTGGCTGAGATTTTCAAAGAGGCATTTAATTTCACCCAAAATTGGGTTTATAATTCACCTTGGCCTCTCTGAAAATCCCAGTCTTCATTCTTAGCTGTATGAAAAGATACTACAAGTGCAGGAAACATGAATGGGCAGGTGAAACTAGACCTAAGCATTTTTCAGTTTTCTTTGCCAGGGAATTAAATGCTTAAACTTAAAATCCAGCCTGATTTTCAGCTGCCTTCCATGTTACAACTTCCAGGTATCACTTCTGCGTGACTGTGCTGATCTACTTCCTGCCACTTCTGGTCATCGGATTTGCCTACACAGTGGTTGGCATCACCCTCTGGGCTAGTGAGATACCAGGCGATTCTTCTGACCGCTACCACGAGCAAGTGACAGCTAAACGGAAGGTAAGCAGCCTTCCTCTGCTGTAGGATGGAGCTATATCAGGGAGCAGACACAGAGCAATTCAGCCTGAATGAACTCTGGGTGACCAGCTATTCAGAGAACAATTCTTCGAACAGAACAGAACCTGATTGCTTTTCAAAAGTAGCCAGAGTTTGATTTCTTGGGAGTGCAGTTGGATCCACCACCAGGGTCCTGATTTTCAAAAGCAGCAAGACTTTTGAAAAATGAGCACTTCAGACAAATCAGGCCAAAAAAAGAGAACAGGAAGCACAAAACACTCAGGAGGGAAGGGAATTTTTAAACAGGTTGGCATTTTTTTAACAGTTTTTCGGTGAGACTGGACACCTCAGATGACCACAAATGGGACTACTCAACTATAAAGCTATAACTTCCAATCCAGCCCTCATGGCCAAAAAGCATTAATACTGGTTGGCAGAGGGTGGTGGGGTGTTAAATTACTTTGGTTCCATCTAGTACCTACCAGAAAGCAGTACAAAACCTGTATGAGCAATGACTGGGATCCCTTAGTGACAGTCACCATAGAAAGACCAAGGTTAAATGGAGGAGGCAGCAATAACTTACTCCTAGAAGCAGCCTTTCCAGGGCAGGGTTGAATGCTGGGGCTAAGTACACACAGTCAAAAAGCCTGAGGCTGAATCGATTCAATCTTTGTAGGTTAGTTTAAGATGCACAGATTGAACCAATAAGCAAGTGAGCAGGCATTCACTTTTGATTCCAGAAACGCAGCCACATGCCAGCAGTGGCCCAGGCCAGAAGTTGGGGGGCTGTAGAGCACACCTCCCTGCTCAGCTGGAGTAGACAGGTTGGGCCAAGTCTAGCCCGCCCACCCTGAAAGGTGGGGTTTTCAGGGGAGGTGCAAAACATCCTGGGATGCTGGGGGACTAAGGTAACTTGAATCTGGAGGGGATCTGGGACAGAAGTTCAATAAACCTAAATCAGTTAAGTCTGATACGACATCCATCCAGGTTTATCTTAAACCAGTTGCAGCTGTTTTGAAAACTTATACTGGTTTATGTGTAATTTCTGTCCCTATCCAAAAGGGCTACAAACAGATGTTGCACATGTCCTAGGATAAACCATTTTATCCCAGAGCAAAGTGCTATCATTGAGACATCCATGTCCATTGTCCCATGATAAATCCTAAAAAGGTTTATGCATCTACATCTGCTTTATGTGCTTAAAAGGATATAAATTACCAAGAAGTCATGGGTGACTGGTACCGCCTTAGTCAGGAGGGGCACGCGACGAGGGGAAGTCCCCCCATGGCCAATGCTGCTGACCAGGGGAAGGGGTCCCTCCACAGCTGATCCTGTGACGGCCAATTGATGCAGCCACTTCTGGGAGCGGCTGCAAGGATCAGCCGGCGCTTGCAGGGGGGGCACTGACACTCCTGCCTACCCACCTTCCCATCACCTAAGCAGTGAGCGCGGCCGGTCGCGGGGTGCACCAGCACTCTCAGGGGGTGCATGTGCACCCCTGTGCACCCCCTACATGTTGCTACTGCCCTACCTTCTCCTGTATTCACCCACACAGGTTTCTTTTCCAGTACATATGTTTTCCCCCCAAGCTCACAAGGAATTTGGAGGCTGATTTAATGGCCTTTCATCCTCCCACAGGTGGTGAAGATGATGATCATTGTGGTGTGCACCTTTGCGATCTGTTGGCTCCCCTACCACGTCTATTTCCTCCTGCAGTATTTTAACCCGCACTGGTACATGCAGACATTTATACAGCAGGTCTACTTAGCAATTATGTGGCTGGCCATGAGTTCGACCATGTACAACCCCATTATCTACTGCTGCCTTAATGACAGGTGAGTTTTGACCATTGCCGCCCAGCAGCTGTGTTTCAGAGCACAATGCAGAGGTGATGGATGGCTGGGATGTGGCTGGGAAGAGGTGGAAAGGCAGGTTCGTTACAGCAGGTGCAGCTTAGGGTGGAAGCAACAGCTCAAGGGTAGCAGTTGAGAACACTACTGAAGGCATCTGGGTTTTTCTGCAGAGTGTGCATTAAATTAGGAACTCTGCTCCAACGCAGCTCTTGCCAGCTATAGATTTCAAGAACTATTCAGAAGAAAGGAAGCCTTGCCATTCTCGTTTTATGGAAGAGGAAGCTGATGGGCAGGGGGAGAAGTGACTTGACTAAGGTCATGCAGCAAGTTGGTAGCAGGGCTGGGAGCAGAGTTCTGCTTCACAGTCTAGCAGCTGGAACATATGACCATGGTGGTGTGGCGGGTCAGCCTGAAATGTTGTCTTTGTTCCCACATTGGCGTCCTTCCCCCTGCACTGATTCTGCTCTACCCCACTCAGGTTTCGCGTTGGCTTCAAGCATGCTTTCCGGTGGTGCCCTTTCATCAGTAGCAGTGAATATGAGGGGCTGGAAATGAAGTCTGCCAAGTACCTCCAGACCCAGAGCAGCATGTACAAAGTCAGCCGCATGGAGACCACTGTGTCTTCAGTCATTGGCAACACGGAGGAAGAACTTGAAGACAGCAACAAAGGGAAGCGCCTCTCTGTGGACATGACATCCAACGGCTCCTCCCACAGTGACTCTAAGACAGTCTCTGAGAGCCTGAGCTTCTATTCCAACACCCTTTCCTAAAGCTGCCACCTAGCAAGCCACAGCCACAACACCCAGCCTCCTACCATGCTCCCTGGCCTCCATTCAATGTGTATCCAGGTGCCCTCACATCTGCCTCTTCCTGCCCAAGATGCTGCAGCTTTGCCGTGACAGTTGCTGCTGCTCACCCCTTCTGTCTGACAAAATGTGACAACCCCTCTGCCCTCTTTGTGGTATTGTGCAGGTGTTTGATGTACTTGATTCTTCACTAATGACATTGAGTGAATATGACTTCTCATTTATGGTTCAGCATGACAGAAGGGCAGGGAAAAGGAAGGCCAAACCTATTAGAAAGTTGTCCTAGAATCGTCATTCCTGGTCCTGCTATGCCCTTGAATGTGAAATGCAGTGTTGGCATTTCCCCAGCCTCTTCCCGTCTTTGTTGATGAACCTACCTACTCCCATGCTCTGTGCTGGAAGCTCAGGAATAAGACAGAGGAACGATATCAAGAGGGCACAGTCAGGCAGGCTGTAATTCAAGAGTAAATGCAAAGTTAGCATCCATCTCCTTGCTTACCGAGCAGATGTTGCAGACAAGGTTCTTTGGGTAAATCCAATATCTTGAATTAGGCCAACTCAAATAGTTGGAAAAAAATCTTCTTAATTAATAAGGCCATGCCTTATTGTCACTCTCTCCTGCTCCTTGCCCTGTTCTGGATTTTGCTTAGTGTAATCTAGAACAGATCCTGTAGTAAAAAATCAGGACTCCTGTAGGACACCACCCTGCACTCAGCCTGTTTAGCCTCTTCTGTTCCTAGATCTGAGAACTTCAATTCAACTTTTGATTGCATCCTCCATCTGCTAGGCTCCCCATGCACAATGCAAAATTTCTGGGGTATTTGTTCCAGGGCCCAATATGTTTAATTAAAAATGGATACCAGAATGCAAAAAGAGGGAGCAACCACTGTCACAAAACATGGTTTGCCAATTGAACAGAAGTCTGGCAACTAACGTGCCTCCTATTTTTCTCAAGGCAGTCAGTAACGGTGTCCAACAAATATGCAGGGTTTTTTGGCCTTTTCCTAAAGGATTTTCCTCAAGGCAGCGATATATTGTGAGTGTGATTTGAAGAGTATTAGGAGAAGGGGGAGTCAAAAATATACAGAAGCATTTGTTTCACAAGGTTATCACATACTAGCTAAAATTACTTAGCAGTTGTAGACAGAACCGTTTCTACCGGAAACTGCAGTTTTGTCAAAAAAATCTAAATGTTTTGTGAGTATGCATCAGTTTCTATGACACTTCTGACAGCCAAGTTCTAAACAAATCATTTTAACTTCCTTGTTTTGTTTCAATCCGGTAAAAATTCTTCTTTTTGGCTCTATCCTTTTTTTGGTGTTTATACTATTACATTTATTATAGATCTATATTTCATATTTTTGTATATTTATATTATACAGTTTCACCTTGACTGAGATCATTTCCCGTATTGCAGTGAAATGGTTGTGTTTCAGGTTAGGTTTTTAAATTTCTCTTACATGAAAATTTAATTTTTGGTTCCAGTTGGAGGGAAAACACATTTCAGGATGTCAGAGTTTTCCATGGGACAAAACCTCAGCTCGAATGTTACATTATTATCAAGATCTAATGTTGATTATCAAGTTTGCATTAGACCTATTATAAACCTTGGGTGCATGAAGCAGCAATAATATTATTTGCAGCTTGTAAAATGCTGGTCGCTATAAGAAACTGAAATGCTGTACACAGGAGTACAGTGATTTAGATACGGAATAGGGGAGCTCTGTGTGTACCCCTGTACACCCACTGAAATGTAAGGTGTTAAATCAGCCATCAGTTGGTCAGGTTCTTTACTATTCAGCCTGTGAAGTGGCTGCCAAAGGATATAGCTGCTATATCAATCCCCAACTTGAATAATTTTTCTAGACAGAAATACTCTTATGTAAATAGGAATGCCCAGAGAAATTTTCTGAACCCACAGATTTCTCTAGTCAGAGCATTACTGCTGCTAGGTGCAGCTGGCAAGAGCCTCCTTGTACCCTTTTAGTCTACGTTCTACCCAACTCCATCGCTCAGAAGCAGTCTTCTGGACACTACATGGGGCCAGGGCCATGTCATTCTTTACAGCCGTGACTTCGTAGGGTTACAGGGTGCTACCCTTGACACACAACACTTGCTACCATTATAACCGCCCATAAATGGCCCACTTCTCCTCCCATTCTCAAGAAGATCTCATCTTCTTTATCCTGTTTCCTTGCTGCCACTACATCCGTCAAGCCACTGTCCACTGACATCTTTGACATGGGGAATTGGAAAGGTCATGGATGTAGGTGAGGATTTCCTACATGCAGACTTCAGCCCCACCTGACAGCACAGTCCTCCCACCACACCATCGAACTGCCACACAGCGCTCTAGTAGCCAAAAGACAGCATACGCCTGGTAAACTGAAATGCCTTAATGAGCTCCTAGTGAATGCACTGTGCTGGGTGCTTGCTCTAACCTTGGACTGTATTGTAACAAATTATTTTAATTGTGGGGGAGGTTGTCTAACAACCCTTCAGCCAAGCATCCTGGAGCTGTACTGCCAATACGTTAAGAAGGTGCCACAAAGCACAACTGAATCTTGATGCCAGCTCTGAGCCAAAGACTGACTTGCATGTGCAGCCCCATTGTGTCATGCTGGTGAGAACAAGACTAGTGGCTGACTTATAGTAACTTTCCTAGCAACCTTTAACTCGTAATGTGGGGGAATCCCAAAGACATGCATGGGGAACAGCAATGAGGTTGCCAGAGCTTGTCACATGAAGTATTTCTTGTACATATTGTCCAAACTTCCAGCTGATGCTCTTCATACCTAAGTGTTTTTACTTCAAGTAATAGCTTGCAGCGAGGTAGTAATAGGAAACGTTACCACTTTCTGTTGTGAAATTTAAGCTCCAGGGCACACAGTCACTGGCATCTGTCTCGTCTCAGTGTTTACAAAGTGTCTTGAATTGTTTAGAAAGTTGGGGGAGGGAGAGCTGTTCTTAATAACATGCATGTCAATAGCATGATACTTGCAGAGTCTGCATCTTAAAGCACTATCTATCATGCAGGTGCCAGCTGGTTAGCCCTAAACATGGTTCTGCCTTTTTACACAAGTGAGCCAGATTCCCAATGAATTTAAATAGGTATAATGATAATGACTTCAGTGGAGCCTTTGCAGCAACTCCCTTGATGTGGCCCAGTTGATTGGGAATGTGGCCCAATTAAGGGAACACTTCCAAGGAAAAAGGCATTAAAAATATGTGCTCCTTCCTCTTAGATGAAGCCAAGGTTAAGAAACACAGGCTGTTCTGTGCAAGCTGTTCAGGGCTGCACACTAGAGATGGTGCCACGTCCAACTTCCCTGAAGAGCCAGGTCACTGGAATGAGGTGGGTGGTTTCCACCTGTTGCAGAGACAGACTGTTTTCAGGATATGAGGGTCTGGAGCCAAGTTTGGAGATGGACTATTGGCGCAGGCCCATGTGCCGGATGGGTACAGGAGTCTCAAACAAGTAACCTAGTTCTGGTGACTTGCTGTGCTGTGCAGCCACGATCTCTGCCTGCAAGTCCTCAGTGCTGATTAAAGAGCTCAGGAAAGAAACATGGCGGGGGGGAGGGAATAAAAAAAACCCACAAGCAAATTGTGAGTCTAGTCAAAATGATATTACATTGTTCCTGTCAAATGAGTGAGCTGTAACAGAGACCTTGGGCTCTGTGAATTTCATTAAGCCTGTTCTCAGGTTTATTTTCAGTTCTCTGACCAGAAATCCAATTGCAGAACATGATGATTTCTTTTCATCTTTCCTGACTTTTTACAATGTAGAATACTAATGTTCCGAGATAATCACAGCAGAGGTCTGTCTCCATTATACCACAGGCATGACTCCCGCTGACATTACCGGGAGCTGCCAGTGCTCTTCTGGCAGGGAAGAGATGCCCAAGTACAATCCATAGCAGTATATTTACTGCTGCATTCGCTGCTGACGTGCCAGAATCAATGTTGTATTTTTTTCTGCTTCCACATAACCTTAAGATTCAAGTAGACATGGCACCAATGCAAAACTCTGCTGCTAATGACCCCAAGACACTGGTGGGTCTTTCTCTCTCTTCCTCCTCACAAGAAGCTCCTTTTGAGCCAAGCCAGATCTCCATATCTAAATGTGCCAAAGCTGAAGCTGAGATCTAAAACAATCTCCCTTGTGCGGACTGGTAGGATGTGTCCCGTCTCTTCCAGGAACCAGCTTTCCCCTAGGAGGCTGGTATTCAGATATGTTGCTGCAAATAGGTAGAACCTGCCTCTTGACCCTGGTCTGTCCTTGCCAGTGCCCTGATGCAGATGATGACACTAGGCTCAGACAGGGCGCATTACTTCACCAGGCCCTGTTATTTCTCCGTGAGAGAGCAGACACTGGAAGCACAATATCTAGGGGCAGCAAAGACACTGTCTTTACAATGCCAAGGCTTTGTCTCAGAGCATCAGACTTTGCATCTGCAGAGCTGAGCCAAACTGCTATGCACCAACTAGCTCTGGTGGTTTCAGAGATCCATCAAACCCCTGGTCCTACTCCCTACACAAAAGCCTACGAAACCAAGGTGTAGAAAGCTGATGTTCTATTGTTCTGCATGAAATTGGAGCTTTTAACCTCTTCTTCCTGATAGCTTAGGAGAGGCAAAAATACCAAGTTTACTGTGTGTAAGCCTGCCCAAGCATGTACAAATAAATAGTAGAAATAGAGCAGGAAGGAACAGGGCACACTCCATCCTATTTCCCAGGAAAGAAGACATTTTTGCAGACAGGAGAAACTGCCCTCACTTGCAACCCATGCAAGGAAAGACAGTTCACTCTAGCTGCTAAGCAGGGACTCCACCTACAATGTCCAGCTTCCCACATCTTTAATAATTGCTCCCAGGCTTGTATTAGAATCCCATCAGTGTTCCCAAGAGAAGCTGCTTAGCTCAAGAGGGGAAAGACCAGCCCCTATGAAGCAGTCTCGATTTACTACATTCCTCTAGGAAAGATGAGCGTCTGCAGTTTATGATGTTTAAGTAATGTAGAAAAAAAGCCCAGTGGCTCTCGACAAGTTATCCCAGATGCCCTTGGCTGGGAAAGTGGGATTGCTTCTTCTCTGTGGGAGAATCCTTCAGGATTCACAAAGTACGGTTGGCTTCATGACTATACTCTGAGAGTTGCAATTCTTTTTCTGATTCACAAGAAGAGGCTTCCAGACTCAAGTGTTTTAATCTGATACTTGTAATTCCCCTTAATACATATATACCCAGCACAAAATGTGTCAGATCCCAGGGCTCATAGAGGTTTATCACCTTGTCAGTCCCCTTGTCCACAGCCCAATATTTTAACCATCCAAAATGCCATGCGCATGGAGGGCTGAGCCAGTCGTGTGGCAGCTTAAAACCCCCTGGTTACAGCTCACCATACCCTGGGGAAGAGGACAATAAAATCTCAGCAACAGCTGGAGAAAGATAAAAGAAATCAAACTTAGCTTTCCCTAGCCATACGCTCTACATCCCAGACAAAGCGATTCTAATTCTGTATAATACGATACACTTAGGGAAATAAAAATCACTGCGTGATGTACAAATAGCTTGTGATGTTTCATTCATGGTCCAGTTAATTATAACAGCATTATTTGAAATGGCCCCTGTAGTAGCTCTGTGTAAGAGAACAAATCTACAATTGGTGATTTGGTTTCCTGTTACATCAGAACAAATTTTCACAATAAATGTTTATTTCGTCATGCCTGTGTTGTGTACCGCCTGCTGCATCTGTGGTGATCATAGCTGACAATCGCTCTGTGGGGGTGGCCGGCACAACCCAAATGTAGAATTGGGGTGGAGATGTGGGTAGGATGGGGGAGGAGGAAGGGTTTTCCATTGGAGGATGGTGCTATCGCAGAAAGTTGAAACCTCGATGCACAACGGATAAGAATTACCTCTGGAGGGCCTGCAGTCCCCATGGTGTAAGCAAGCATAGAAGGACACATGTCATGGCTCATTGGAGCCTGTAGAAAGTTGGTGTGAAAGGTCCCAGGGGAACCACCATATTGATCTGTTGTAATGTTTCACTGAATGCAATATCCCACCTTGCAGAGCAGCCCTTGGAGAGTACTTACTAGCACCTTTCTTCTGGCTGGAGGGCTGAGTCAGATCCTGCTGTCTGGTGATAACCCATAACAACACAGTGATTTGTACTGATGCAGTGCTAACCAGCTTAGAGAGGACCCCACTTGGCAAAGAATTTAAGCTCAAGCCTAGCTTTAGGCAGGTGACTGCTGTGGGACATCTGTTTATGTCAAGATACAATTTGTTCCTTTATACCAGACGTAACTGCCCAGAAATAACAAGTCTAATAATGTGATGGCCCATAACATCAATAGGGATTGAGCTTTGGTGGAGAAGGCAGAGGCACAAGCTCCCACCACCACCTGATTCAGGTTGGGCTTTTGGAAATGTGTGCTTTCTGTGTGTGGTTGGAGCAATTTACCCCATCCTGATCTACATTAAAACCTCCTCTTGCTAGAGGGGTCACATCTATGCTTGGACAGCAGTGTTTAACTTTGGAAATGAAGGCATAAAACAGAACCAGATGGGACAGTAAAGTCCCAATTGTTTAAGTGGGCGTCTCATTCAGGACGCAGCAGATGGAGAAAAACAGCCCCATGCTTATAAACAAAGATGGCAGATAGATCATTAGCAACAGAATATCCTTACTGCATCAAAACGACCAAACCTCCTTGTGATCATCTCTCGCTCATTGTAATTTACAATCTTTAATTAGAGGAGGGTTGCAAAGCCAAAGCCAATTAGCCTCTCTGCCGAGATGCCAGTCTCTGATACACACATGCGCTAACATTCTTACAGGTTATCTTATTATGCAAAAGTCTCTCATGTGCTCCCATCACACAGTGGCTTTGTGTGAGCAATTCCAGGAGGAATCGTCACTGTGGCGGGAAGACCATGTGCAAAGACATGCTGCTTTAGTATGGGGCAGAGACTCTCAGGCAGAGGAAGAATCATGGCTACCCCTGGAGCCCTTAGCTAAAGCATGTCCCAGGGAAACAGAGGCAGAGAAACACATACAGGTGTGCTCATTATTTGCACCTGGAGCTGCATATCCTCTATGTAAAGAGCAATATGTTGTAGAACCTCATGTGTCTGCTCCATGCATCCCCTATCACGTGACCCTACAGAGTTAAACTGTGAACCCAGAGTACCTATGAAGGTCGTACTGTGGGAAGGGGTGTGCTTAAAGTATTTGGGAAATTGGGAGCTCAGCACTGACCCTAGAGTTTGGCAGCTGGTGTGGGTGGCCCCTTCCTAGGTGCAGTAGCAGAGAGCTACCCAGGAAGCATGCTAGAAGTCACAGGAAACAAAGAGCTGCACCCTGCTTGGACCAAGGGGAGCTGAGAGGGAAGGGCTACGGACCCCAGGGCTTTCAGGGCAGCATTTTATATCCTCGTTGCCTTACTGTGAATAACTGCAAAAAGAAAAAGGGCAATGGAAGAAAAATCAGAGCCCCTGGAGCTGACACACTATGACTAAGGCAGAGGAACTCAATTCTCCAAATGAATCTGGAGCATTCTACGTAATGGTGAAGCCTTAGGGGTACGGTAAATTGACCTGGATCCAGCCCCCAACAGCAATGAGTGGTCTTAGAGAATTCCTTCTGTAAGCAGATATTTGCAAGGTACTAAATAATGCATTTGTTGATGACTTATCGCTCCATCAAATGACTCACTCTGGAGTGCTTACTGAACTGCTTATTATGGGGTTCATGAGTTTTGCTGTCAACTCTCTTATAAAGACCTAACCTTCCAAAGACCTTCTCTGTCCACTTATCTCAATGCAACCTGTTAACTCCCTTTCCTGTGCTACTTAGAGGTAAGAGAGAAGCAGACCCTTAATTCCACGAAGGCCTGAGAGGCAAGTAGAATCGGAGGGATGCTACAAGAGCTGTCCAGGGGAAAGGACAAGAGCCATCTGCAGAGACCTCAAGCAAGTACAAACTGCACTGGAAGCTGACAAGAGCATTCATGCGCTTGTCTGGACAAAACAGAAAGCTTTTCCCTGAGAAATTTGATTCTAGTTGATGCTGGTTGTATCAAATTTCCTGGAGCATCCCAAAGCATCTATGAGGAATCAGAACTTGTGGCAGAGGTGATATCTTTTATTGAACCAGCTAGATTTTGAAAATATGTATATTTATTTTTTTAAAAATATCTTTATTTTTTGCGAAAATCTAGCTGGTCTAATAAAAGATATAATCTCTACTACAAGTTCTGATTCCTTATGCCTCTAGACCAATGCGGCTACAACCTGGATGCCAAAGTATCCATGAAACCTATTTGACCTCACCCTGAAAGGTTGGCAGGAACAAATAAAGGTTTTCCCAAGAAGCAGATCATCCCTCAGCTTCCTGCAGTGGGGGCTCCTTTTACCTTCCTTTGAGAGCAGCTGGGTGTAGCATGCCTGGGACAGATGAGAAGGGATGTCCTTGGACCCCATTAAGATCCAGACTCACCATGCCAAGTTGCAACGTGACCCTCTTTCCTCTGCCAACCTGTCTCTACCTTTTGGAACCCCTTCCCATGCCTCCTTGCCTCTCATTTGAACCGATCCCTTCCCACCTCCTCAGACACAGAAAAATGTATTTACCTGTCTGTTTCATTTTCTTTTCAGGATCTCTCTCATGAATTATTCCTTCTGCAGCTGGCAACCTGAATCCCATTCTTTGAGTGCAGGAGCCATTCAGAGCTCAGGGTTTCCTAAGTCATAGAGGATTGGGATTTGGGTTCCAACCCCCATCCCGGACCAATCCTTGGGAGTGCAGAGGCCCAAATTTCACTTATCATTATTGCTCCTTCTTAAAAGATGACTGAGAACCAAAGGGACCTGGAGTGACAGCTCATTTGTCATCTGCTCAGCCCCAGGCAGCATATTTAGACACAAAGATGAATGCACTCAGGCATGAGTTTGGAGAGATTTTCACTCCCATTATGACACCAGTCCACTGTACAGAGTCTGCCAGCAGGGGGGAAATTCCCCAGGTACAGGAAGTGCATAAGATGCCTCTGTGCCTGAATTATGTCTTCCCCCGGGTTTGAACAAATGTGTCAGCTCACCTATGCTTTATAAGCCCTTTCAAGAGAGCAGATTGTAGCCGATACACAACTGCCTCCCCTACTACACCTTGTGTTAAGATTTGGTTTGGGCTCAACCTATCATTTAGCTTGAAGACATTTTATATGGGTTCCAAGGATGGTGGTGAGCTATAATTAACAGTGTTGAATCTACTCTCTCCAGGCCAAAACACCTGCTAGGAGACTCCAAGTCACAGCTGCCCTGCAAACTCTCATTGACTGCAGTGAGGAATTCTGCAGGCTGAGCCACTAGAAGAGCAAGCCCTGCATTTGGATCAAGGGGGGATAAAGAGTCACACAAATTTGGGGATAAAGAGTCTCACACTCTTTACAGTCACATAAATTTGCTTTTTTGTGGCTGGCCTGGATGTCAAGCAGGGGTTCGCTGCACAAACGTTGAGCCACCCTGACTGCTACTGGCTTGCATCACTGAAATTATCACAGCACAAGGAATCAGGGAGGAGGGAGCATCCAGAGCAGGTGAGGCTTGGTATGCAAAAGCACACAGAACCAGCAGCTCTCATTACAGCACAATGTTGGAGGCTAGGGGCAGGGTAAGAGCAGGAAGAGTTGAATCCTGAAGCTCCCTGGCAAGCAGTGCCTCAGAACATCTGGAATTTATTCAAGAACATCCCAATTTGGACAGACTGTGCACAAACAGGTACAGCCTAAGGAATTCATGTAGAATGGTACATCCAAACTCAGTACAATAGACAATAGACATGAGGGGTATGTAGGAATCTACATACCCCTCTACCCAACTCCCAACCCCCAATTCATTCATCATCATTTTAGGAAACATATGCAATAAATTATGCAAAAGATATGCGATAAATGAAATCTGCCTAAACACTGAGAAAACCAATGGGACCGTGCTTATTGAAAGGCATTAAATGAAGTCTCATCTGCTGAACTAATAGAGTACAAAAATCATATGAACTAATTGTACCATCCTGGCGAAAAAGTGCACAGAGTCAGAAAATGATGCCCTCCAGAAAATGATGATCATCGTGAGCACGGGTTTTTGTTCATTTAAAAAAATGAAGTTGCCATTCCCCAATATCAAGCTTCATTTAGCCCTTAAGAGCTTTGGATTCCTAGAAGTCGTCTATTGTCTGTGTATTAGGATTGCCAGGAACTCCTTCTCAAGGGCAAAATGCATTCTGACTGTGGAATCGTCTGCTAGGAGAAAGGATCAATGCAGACACTACATATAGTGTATGTGGACTCTTGGAAATGCTGAATGATGTCCAAAGGATGTGGACTATCCTTAATTCCAAATGAGCTCAACCAGAGGTCCTCCAGTAGGCCCTAGTCCTCAGGCAGAGAAAGGTGATGAGCTTTCCCTGAGCTTCAGGTGCCCTATATCAAACCAGATCTTCAGTGGGTAAGCAGACTGGATTCCATGCCCAGGTCTGCCACCCCACCTGGGAACATAGCTTCCCTTCTCTGTGTCATCTACAGAAATGGAGGCAGTGACACTAAAAATGTCTTAGAAACCCCTGGGTGAAAGGCATGAAACAGCATGGTGCAGGAAGCAGAACAGACATGGCTTTTAACTGAGTGATGCTGAATATTTGGGCTGATACTACGAAC